CCGTCACTCCCGGGCTGCAGAGGGAGGTTTGGCCCCAGGCTGCTCCCAGCGGAGCTGGCTGCGATTCCCGCCCTGGGCCCGGGAAAGCTGCCGCCAGCCCCCGGTGTGTGCGGGGCGGGAGGAGCCCGGGACAGAGACACGTGGGGAGCAGAGGGGGGTGACAGCCGGGGTACAGACCCAGCCAGGCAGGGCGGAGTGGTATCCCCAGGAATAATGAGGGCCAGAGGGGATAAAAGTTCCCCCAAATGGGGCAACTAGCTGCAGTGGATGCAATAAATAAATAAACAAATAAATGGAGGTGGGGGGAGAGGCGTTTTCCTCCCCCCCTTCCCAGGATCTCAGCTCCCATTTTCCAGGGCCGTGTCCTTAAAGGCCCAGTTCATTGCAGTGTCTGGACAGAGCCGCTCTTCTCCTGTATAAGATGCTACTGAGCTGCTAAAGACCCCCCCACACAAAGATCTCACTGTCACACCTGCTTCGAGTGTTTAAAGAATCTGGGTCTCAGTTCCTGTGTCTGCGTAAAGCCGCCCAGCGCTTCATCCGTGTGTCCTAGCCAATGTCCCTGTTCCCCCGAGTTTCACTCCTCTTGGACTCCAGTCTGGGCAGTTTCACTCCTTTACATTACTTCCTTATGAAAACATTATTTTCATTACTTTCAGCTCTTCATCTTCAACTTCATTAGCGTTGTGCGGAGGGACGTCAATCTGCCATGGAATTTACATTTGTAATAGCAAATCATCATGGGAAATATGAATAGTTGCGAGTAGCTTCAGCAATCGCATCTCACGGTGACGCTGTAACAGTTCCTGTTTCTATAGTAATGTTGTAATTTAAGGGCAGAGCTGACTGATTTCATGGGCTGGTCTGAAAACTCATCACATGAGTGAGGTGAGCTTAATATAGTTTTGTTACACCTGCCAGACTCTGCCTCACACCTTTGTGAGCATCGCAGTCACAGACACACCGATATGACCATCCCCATGTACAACAGACAATGCTGTCTGTCCAAGTTACATTTCCCCGGCAGTGCCTAGTTACAAGGCAGATATCCACATGCGACCCCCTCCGTTCCTGCGCGCACACACACTGCTCCCAGCTTACATTGGATTTATTAAAAAAAAGAGAAAAACCAACGAGGAGTCCTTGTGGCACCTTAGAGACTAACACATTTATTTGGGCATAAGCTTTTGTGATTCTAGCCCACAAAAGCTGATACTCACATAAACGTGTTAGTCTCTAAGGTGCCACAAGGACTCCTCGTTGTTTTTCGCTGATACAGACTGCCACTCTAAAAAAAGAGACAAGCTCATGATCTTTGGGGCTCTGATTCCTGAGTGTTAAGGGGTTGCCCTGGGTCTTGATCTGATTTCCATGCAGGATTCAGATTTCAGCCACACCGGTGTCAGACCGGAGTCACTGCTGGCTCTGGCTATTGGAGAGTGCGGATGGGCCAATGGGATCAGCCTCTGTCTGCCTGCCCCTGGGGATGCCGGGGGAGTCCAGGGCAGCTCATTCTTCAGGTGTTGCCACCAGAGGGCTCCGGCTGTTGCTAAGGGAGAGGGGTTTACACTGTAATGGGGGGCAATCCCCCAAAGTGATTCTGCTCTTTTTTTAGTATTTGGCTCAGAGATGCTGTTACTGGGAGGCTTTGAAGAGGCTGGGGGGAAGCGGGGTGTGACATGGACTCCAACCCCTTCTGTAATCTCCCCCATCGCCTCTCTTACCCCAACAGGCTGAGGAATCGCATCCACTTTTCGCTCCAGATCGACCCGTCTTCCAGGAGACAGGGAAGGGAAAGAGCTGTGATGGAGCCAGCTCAGGTAAGGGATTTTTCGGGAGCTGCTTAGCCGGGGGAGGGAGAAGCAGGGAGGAGACAGGGTGTGATAAACCTGCTGATTTTCTGAGTAGGACCATTGGCGGTAGTGCGGGAGAGGAACATTCGCCCAATTCAAAAACAGGACATAACCCCCCTGCACAGGACTGGAGCCTGAACCCACTGGCCAGAGGGCCTGAGGCTGCTGTGAAATACGAAGGGAAGCTGTTGGGATTCCTGTCCCTGTCCCTGGCTCAGAGCTCTGCTTCTCATATCAGCCTATGGCTGGTAGGACTG